GGTGTCAGTGGGGGGAGTAGTGCCCCATCATTGGTGTCAGTGGGGGAGTAGTGCCCCATCATTGGTGTCAGTGGGGGAGTAGTGCTCCATCACTGGTGTCAGTGGGAGGAGTAGTGCTCCATCACTGGTGTCAGTGGGAGGAATAGTGCCACATCATTGGTGTCAGTGGGGGGAGTAGTGCCACATCATTGGTGTCAGTGGGGGGAGTATGCCCCATCATTGGTGTCAGTGGGGGGAGTAGTGCCCCATCATTGGTGTCAGTGGGGGGAGTAGTGCCCCATCATTGGGGTCAGTGGGAGGAATAGTGCCCCATCACTGGTGTCAGTGGGGGGAGTAGTGCCCCATCACTGGTGTCAGTGGGAGTAGTGCCCCATCACTGGTGTCAGTGGGAGGAATAAGTGCCACATCATTGGTGTCAGTGGGAGGAATAGTGCCCCATCATTGTGTCAGTGGGGAGGAATAGTGCCCCATCATTGATGTCAGTGTGGTGGAGGGGAAATAGTGCCCCATCATTGGGGTCAGGGGGGGGGGAAATAGTGTCCCATCGTTGGTGTCAGTGGGGGGAGGAATAGTGCCCCCATCATTGGTGTCAGTGGGAGGAATAGTGCCCCATCATTGATGTCAGTGTGGTGGAGGGAGAATAGTGCCCCATCATTGGGGTCAGGGGGGGGGGGGAAATAGTGCCCCATCGTTGGTGTCAGTGGGGGGAGAATAGTGCCCCATCGTTGGTGTCAGTGGGGGGAGGAATAGTGCCCCATCGTTGGTGTCAGTGGGGGGGAGGAATAGTGCCACATCGTTGGTGTCAGTGGGGGGAGGAATAATGCCACATCGTTGGTGTCAGTGGGGGGAGGAATAGTGCCACATCGTTGGTGTCAGTGGGGGGAGGAATAGTGCCCCATCGTTGGTGTCAGTGGGGGGAGGAATAGTGCCTCATTGTTGGTGTCAGTGGGGGGAGGAATAGTGCCACATCGTTGGTGTCAGTGGGGGAGGAATAGTGCCCCATCGTTGGTGTCAGTGGGGGAGGAATAGTGCCCCATCGTTGGTGTCAGTGGGGGGAGGAATAGTGCCACATCGTTGGTGTCAGTGTGGGGGAGGAATAGTGCCACATCGTTGGTGTCAGTGGGGTGAGGAATAGTGCCCCATCGTTGGTGTCAGTTGGGGGAGGAATAGTGCCCCCATCGTTGGTGTCAGTGGGGGGAGGAATAGTGCCCCATCGTTGGTGTCAGTGGGGGGAGGAATAGTGCCCCATCATTGGTGTCAGTGGGGGGAGGAATAGTGCCCCATCGTTGGTGTCAGTGGGGGGAGGAATAGTGCCCCATCGTTGGTGTCAGTGGGGGAGGAATAGTGCCCCATCGTTGGTATTAGTGACACAAATGATGGGGCACTATTCCTCCCACTGACACCAATGATACTTACTTTGCTGACCCCTGCTCCAGCCTGGGCTCGCTCTCTCACTTACCTGTCAGCTGTCTTCCTTCTCTGGCCGCTCTCCTCTTCACTCGCTCCGGCAGCTCCCTCGGTCTTCTTTGATGTACGCGCGCTGCCGCTCGGCTCCTCCTCTCCAAGCTCCACCTCCTCGCCGGTGATTGGCCGCCTGTGTGCCTCTCCTGAGCTACAGTTCCGGTGGCCAATCAGCGGCGAGGAGGCGGAGCTGCTGAGCGATCCCCGGAGGTGTGGCCAGGTGACAGGAGCAGCGTATCATCCCGCCCACACATCGCCGGAGACAGCAGCGGTGTCTCGGTTCCTAAGACCATCGGAAATATGTGTTTTCCGATGGTCTTAGGCGACCCCTGGGAAATGGTCGTTCGACCCCCAAAGGGGTCGCGACCCCCAGGTTGAGAACCGCTGGTGTAGAGAGATGCTCACGAGCTATGGATAAAGTGTGAGCTTATCAAACTGAACCGCATGTGGATGGACCCTATTTGCCCTGCACGTGGGGGTACCTTTTCACATGGAGTACGCTCTTCAATGCCCAGGACCAGGCAGAGACTGCAGTCATGTGAAAAATCTAACATTAAGGCAGTTCCTTAACTCAGAGATGAGCTTAAACTGTGTGCAGTAAAATACAGAGTTCCTCTGAAACGTGGTATCCCATGTCATACAAACTGTGCCTCTAGTAGTTGTTGGATTAGGAGGGACAGACTGAGCCTGTGCACCCCAGTGCGCAAACCACAAGGTTGGCAGTGAACGTGTGTGGTTTTGTTGCACCAGGACTTTGGACTGTTGACTTGTTTTGGCTGAAGCTATTTTTGTTTATCCGTTTTTTCAAATAAATGAACTGGTTGCTTTTACCAAACTAGCTGGCTGTCACTCCGGAGCTACCTTAGATTACACCAAATATTTACATCCTTGAATTCTGTGACACGTATTCACTATGTCTTGTGGCTAGGCATTGCTGTGTCACACATTTCACAGAGCCTGCCTTCAGAACTACAGAGGAGCTGAGAGGAGGAGTTTCAGGAGGTGGAGTCAGTACAGGAATAGCTGCTTGCAGGTAGCAAGGTACCATGGGATATGTAGTCCTTTGAAATTGAAACAGCAGAGAAGAAGATGCAAAACATGCAGGAAATCCAGGAATTTGTGGAAAGAGATGACCAGCAGAAAGGCAGAAGTGACAACATGAAAGCAGAATTTTTAAGTAAGCGTATATTGGATTGCCAAATATTACTGCTGTTTGTATTGCTATTACAATGCTAATGTTATAAAATACAAGTATGCTGTGACTAGAGATGAGCGAATTGAACATGGCAAAGTGGAATTCATTTCGAATATTGGGAAATATTCGATGCGTGCCGAAATCCGAAAATTAGCCAACTTCGGATGCACGAATCGAATTTTCCCCAAAAATGGCGGCGACATTTGTGGCGACGGAGCGGGGATCTCTGGGAAGGCGTGCAGACAAGGCGCGCTGACCCATAATGCATTCATTCATGACATGTGATCGCATTAGCCAATCAGCAGCCAGCCAGCCAGCACTGTGTAATGGTGGAGCTATAAATTGCGGCCATCTTACAATTCTCCATTAGCCTCCGGTCATTCAAGAGAGACAGACCTGTCTGTATTAGGGACAGAGTTAGGGCCAGAGAGACTTTAGGGCCACAGAACCGTTACTTAGGGACACAGAATCGTTACTTAGGGACACAGAATCGTTACTCAGGGACACAGAATTGTTAATCAGGGACACAGAATTGTTACTCAGGGACAGACACAGAATTGTTACTGAGGGACACAGAATTGTTACTGAGGGACACAGAATTGTTACTGAGGGACACAGAATTGTTACTCAGGGACAGACACAGAATTGTTACTGAGGGACACAGAATTGTTACTGAGGGACACAGAATTGTTACTGAGGGACACAGAATTGTTACTGAGGGACACAGAATTGTTACTCAGGGGCACAGAATTGTTACTCAGGGACACAGAAATGTTACTCAGGGACAGACACAGAATTGTTACTGAGGGACACAGAATTTTTACTGAGGGACACAGAATTGTTACTGAGGGACACAGAATTGTTACTCAGGGACACAGAATTGTTACTCAGGGACACACAGAATAGTTACTGAGGGACACAGAATTGTTACTGAGGGACACAGAATTGTTACTCAGGGACACAGAAGAATTGTTACTCAGGGACACAGAATTGTTACTCAGGGACACAGAATTGTTAATCAGGGACAGACACAGAATTGTTACTGAGGGACACAGAATTGTTACTGAGGGACACAGAATTGTTACTGAGGGACACAGAATTGTTACTCAGGGACAGACACAGAATTGTTACTGAGGGACACAGACACAGAATTGTTACTGAGGGACACAGAATTGTTACTCAGGGACACAGAATTGTTACTCAGGGACACAGAATTGTTACTCAGGGACACAGAATTGTTACTCAGGGATAGACACAGAATTGTTACTGAGGGACACAGAATTGTTACTGAGGGACACAGAATTGTTACTGAGGGACACAGAATTGTTACTCAGGGACAGACACAGAATTGTTACTGAGGGACACAGAATTGTTACTGAGGGACACAGAATTGTTACCGAGGGACACAGAATTGTTACCGAGGGACACAGAATTGTTACTCAGGGACACAGAATTGTTACTCAGGGACACAGAATTGTTACTCAGGGACACAGAATTGTTACTGAGGGACACAGAATTGTTACTCAGGGACAGACACAGAATTGTTACTCAGGGACACACAGAATTGTTACTGAGGGACACAGAATTGTTACTCAGGGACACAGAATTGTTACTCAGGGACAGACACAGAATTGTTACTCAGGGACACAGAATTGTTACTCAGGGACACAGAATTGTTACTGAGGGACACAGAATTGTTACTGAGGGACACAGAATCGTTACTGAGGGACACAGAATTGTTACTCAGGGACACAGAATTGTTACTGAGGGACACAGAATCGTTACTCAGGGACACAGAATTGTTACTCAGGGACACAGAATTGTTACTCAGGGACACAGAATCGTTGAATTAAAGAGTATGTCAAACAACACGCAGAGGAGTGGCAGAGGAGGCAATGTTTCAGGAGCGAGCAGACGTGGCAGCAGAGGAAGGGGTCGAGGCAGCACTACTAGTCGCAGCCAGAGGCCAGTGCTCCCGGTGTCATCCAGCGGTCGTGTCTCCACACGACAACCCTGCCGTCATCGATTGGTTGGCTCGGTCTCTTCCTCTTCCCAGGTCACCTCTGACACCTACAGCCAACGGTCGGTGGGTACGTCAGACACAACCGTTAGTTGGCATGGCCCGGGAGCAAGCCCACTGAAATCACGTGTCCTCTACCTGCCCCTGTCCTTTGGTGTTCCCTCACCAAGCGAAGTATCGCATGCTGTGGGCTCAGCCCCACTGTACAGTGAGGAAGAGCTAACAGAGGGCGGTCAGGAACGGGGGGAGACATCCGCCTCTTCAGCAGCCAGGCGAAGAAGTACTGGCGAGGAGAGTGGCTCGGTAGCCGGTCTAGAGACAGGTCTGTCTCCTGACCCACACGCACCCACACGCACCACACGGGGCTAGTAGTGAGGCGGAGACCCTAATTGATGATGATGAGGCTGATCGCACTTGGCAGCCTCGTCGTCATCTGCCAGGCCCGTAATCTGCCATGGGCCCCCGTACCGCCTCCTCATGCTGCTGCCAGGTCCGTAATCTGTCATGGGCCCCTGTACCGCCTCCGCATGCTGCTGCCAGGTCCAGAGTGTCTCATGGGTCCCTGTACGGCCTCCCATTGCTGCTGTCTCCATCGCCACACTCTGCCATGTGCCACTTTCAGGTCTCCTCACACTGCTGGTGAGGTTCCATTTTGTCATAGGGTGCTGGCAGATTACGGGCCTCCCATTGCTGCTGCCAGGCCCGTAATCTGTCATGGGCCCCCGTACCGACTCCTCATGCTGCTGCCAGGCCCGTAATCTGTCATGGGCCCCTGTACCGCCTCCTCATGCTGCTGCCAGGTCCAGAGTGTGCTCATGGGTCCCTGTACGGCCTCCCATTGCTGCTGTCTCCATCGCCACACTCTGCCATGTGCCACTTTCAGGTCTCCTCACACTGCTGGTGGGTTCCATTTTGTCATAGGGTGCTGGCAGATTACGGGCCTCCCATTGCTGCTGCCAGGCCCGTAATCTGCCATGGGCCCCCGTACCACCCTCCTCATGCTGCTGCCAGGTCCAGAGTGTGTCATGGGTCCCTGTACGGCCTCCCATTGCTGCTGTCTCCATCGCCACACTCTGCCATGTGCCACTTTCAGGTCTCCTCACACTGCTGGTGGGTTCCATTTTGTCATAGGGTGCTGGCAGATTACGGGCCTCCCATTGCTGCTGCCAGGCCCGTAATCTGCATGGGCCCCTGTACCGCCTCCTCATGCTGCTGCCAGGCCCGTAATCTGTCATGGGTCCCTGTACGGCCTCCCATTGCTGCTGTCTCCATCGCCACACTCTGCCATGTGCCACTTTCAGGTCTCCTCACACTGCTGGTGGGTTCCATTTTGTCATAGGGTGCTGGCAGATTACGGGCCTCCCATTGCTGCTGCCAGGCCCGTAATCTGCCATGGGCCCCCGTACCGCCTCCTCATGCTGCTGCCAGGCCCGTAATCTGTCATGGGTCCCTGTACGGCCTCCCATTGCTGCTGTCTCCATCGCCACACTCTGCCATGTGCCACTTTCAGGTCTCCTCACACTGCTGGTGGGTTCCATTTTGTCATAGGGTGCTGGCAGATTACGGGCCTCCCATTGCTGCTGCCAGGCCCGTAATCTGTCATGGGCCCCTGTACCGCCTCCTCATGCTGCTGCCAGGCCCGTAATCTGTCATGGGTCCCTGTACGGCCTCCCATTGCTGCTGTCTCCATCGCCACACTCTGCCATGTGCCACTTTCAGGTCTCCTCACACTGCTGGTGGGTTCCATTTTGTCATAGGGTGCTGGCAGATTACGGGCCTCCCATTGCTGCTGCCAGGCCCGTAATCTGTCATGGGCCCCTGTACCGCCTCCTCATGCTGCTGCCAGGCCCGTAATCTGTCATGGGTCCCTGTACGGCCTCCCATTGCTGCTGTCTCCATCGCCACACTCTGCCATGTGCCACTTTCAGGTCTCCTCACACTGCTGGTGGGTTCCATTTTGTCATAGGGTGCTGGCAGATTACGGGCCTCCCATTGCTGCTGCCAGGCCCGTAATCTGCCATGGGCCCCCGTACCGCCTCCTCATGCTGCTGCCAGGGGCCCCTGTACCGCCTCCTCATGCTGCTGCCAGGTCCAGAGTGTGTCATGGGTCCCTGTACGGCCTCCCATTGCTGCTGTCTCCATCGCCACACTCTGCCATGTGCCACTTTCAGGTCTCCTCACACTGCTGGTGGGTTCCATTTTGTCATAGGGTGCTGGCAGATTACGGGCCTCCCCATTGCTGCTGCCAGGCCCGTAATCTGCCATGGGCCCCTGTACCGCCTCCTCATGCTGCTGCCAGGCCCGTAATCTGTCATGGGTCCCTGTACGGCCTCCCATTGCTGCTGTCTCCATCGCCACACTCTGCCATGTGCCACTTTCAGGTCTCCTCACACTGCTGGTGGGTTCCATTTTTTTCATAGGGTGCTGGCAGATTACGGGCCTCCCATTGCTGCTGCCAGGCCCGTAATCTGCCATGGGCCCCTGTACCGCCTCCTCATGCTGCTGCCAGGCCCGTAATCTGTCATGGGTCCCTGTACGGCCTCCCATTGCTGCTGTCTCCATCGCCACACTCTGCCATGTGCCACTTTCAGGTCTCCTCACACTGCTGGTGGGTTCCATTTTGTCATAGGGTGCTGGCAGATTACGGGCCTCCCATTGCTGCTGCCAGGCCCGTAATCTGCCATGGGCCCCTGTACCGCCTCCTCATGCTGCTGCCAGGCCCGTAATCTGTCATGGGTCCCTGTACGGCCTCCCATTGCTGCTGTCTCCATCGCCACACTCTGCCATGTGCCACTTTCAGGTCTCCTCACACTGCTGGTGGGTTCCATTTTGTCATAGGGTGCTGGCAGATTACGGGCCTCCCATTGCTGCTGCCAGGCCCGTAATCTGTCATGGGCCCCTGTACCGCGCCTCCTCATGCTGCTGCCAGGCCCGTAATCTGTCATGGGTCCCTGTACGGCCTCCCATTGCTGCTGTCTCCATCGCCACACTCTGCCATGTGCCACTTTCAGGTCTCCTCACACTGCTGGTGGGTTCCATTTTGTCATAGGGTGCTGGCAGATTACGGGCCTCCCATTGCTGCTGCCAGGCCCGTAATCTGCCATGGGCCCCTGTACCGCCTCCTCATGCTGCTGCCAGGCCCGTAATCTGTCATGGGTCCCTGTACGGCCTCCCATTGCTGCTGTCTCCATCCACCACACTCTGCCATGTGCCACTTTCAGGTCTCCTCACACTGCTGGTGGGTTCCATTTTGTCATAGGGTGCTGGCAGATTACGGGCCTCCCATTGCTGCTGCCAGGCCCGTAATCTGTCATGGGCCCCTGTACCGCCTCCTCATGCTGCTGCCAGGCCCGTAATCTGTCATGGGTCCCTGTACGGCCTCCCATTGCTGCTGTCTCCATCGCCACACTCTGCCATGTGCCACTTTCAGGTCTCCTCACACTGCTGGTGGGTTCCATTTTGTCATAGGGTGCTGGCAGATTACGGGCCTCCCATTGCTGCTGCCAGGCCCGTAATCTGCCATGGGCCCCCGTACCGACTCCTCATGCTGCTGCCAGGCCCTTAATCTGTCATGGGCTGTACCGCCTCCTGCTGCTGCCAGGTCCAGAGTGTGTCATGGGTCCCTGTACGGCCTCCCATTGCTGCTGTCTCCATCGCCACACTCTGCCATGTGCCACTTTCAGGTCTCCTCACACTGCTGGTGGGTTCCATTTTGTCATAGGGTGCTGGCAGATTACGGGCCTCCCATTGCTGCTGCCAGGCCCGTAATCTGCCATGGGCCCCCGTACCGACTCCTCATGCTGTGACGTTGCAACAAGGTGGAATTCAACCCTACATATGTTAGACCGCCTTTACGAACAGCGAAAGGCCATCACCGATTTCCTGATGTTACAAGCGGATAAAGGTACTCCCCTGTGTAACTTAGATGTCAGCCATTGGCAGCTCATGCGTGACACCTGCCGCTTGCTCAGGCCCTTTGAGGAGGCCACGCTATTCGTGAGTCGGCAGGACTATGGGATGAACGACGTCATTCCTCTGTTGCACGTCCTGGAACAAATGCTGTTAACAATGGCTGGTCAGGGTGCGGTAGACGTGGCGCACAGATCTCAACGCCACATGACCCCTGTGGGGGCAGGACAGGAAGAAGAGGAGGAGGTAGGGTAGAGGAGGACATTGGTGCTCAGGAATTATTGAGTGAAATGGGTGGTTTTTTCCACTCAGCGGACAGGAGTGGAGGAGCAGGAGCATCTGGTAGAGGAGGAGGAGGAGGAGACAGAGGACCCAGACGCACCGTGGCAGTATGCTGTGGAGATGGAGGCAGGGAGTCCCTCGCATTCCTTGGCACAAATGGCCCATAGCATGCTCGGTTGCTTGCGTAGCGACAGCTGAATAATAACCATCAGACAGAGGGATGACTTTTGGCTGTCCACCTTGTTGGACCCTCGCTACCGTTCAAAAATGGTGGCCTTTTTCACACCTGCTGAGAGGGAGGCCAAAATAACGTACTATAAAAACCACCTATGTAGTCAGTTGGTCTCTGCCTTTCTGCGCCAACGTCCATCCTCAGACACTGTGGGCCCTGTGCGCTCGCGTTCCGCTGCCATGGCAGCAGGGGGGGGGTGGGGTGGTAGGAGCAGTGGCAGCTCCACCAGCAGCGGCTGCCTCAGTCTGCAGTCGATGATGAGTAGCTTTCTTCACCAGCGCAGTGAGGAAACTACTAACCAGCCGCAGCAGCAGCAGCAGCAGCATCAGGTGGACCTGGAGCAGGACCTCAAACAACAGGCTTGGGCCTACTTGGACAGCACCCTGCCAACCGAGGTAGACAATCCCCTTGACTACTGGGCAACGAAACTTGACCTTTGGCCCCAACTAGCTGAATTTGCCCTTGAAAGGCTGTCATGCCCGGCCAGTAGGTGGCATCGGAGCGCGTGTTTAGTGCAGCAGGAGGTATTGTAACTCCGCGGAGGACACGACTGTCCACCCAAAGTGTGGAGAGACTCACGTTTGTGAAAATGAATCAGGCGTGGATTAGTCTGGATTTCAAACCACCAGTTCCTGACACAACTGACTAAATCCGCCATGAATCATGCCCCAAACATGTTATTATTTTTAACATAGGCCTCTGTATGGCCTTCAATTTAAGCTGCTTACGCTTCGCCACTCTGCCATGGGCCCCTGTACCGCTCCTCTTGCTGCTGCCAGGTCCAGAGTGTGTCATGGGTCCCTGTACGGCCTCCCATTGCTGCTGTCTCCATCGCCACACTCTGCCATGTGCCACTTTCAGGTCTCCTCACACTGCTGGTGGGTTCCATTTTGTCATAGGGTGCTGGCAGATTACGGGCCTCCCATTGCTGCTGCCAGGCCCCCGTAATCTGCCATGGGCCCCCGTACCGCCTCCTCATGCTGCTGGCCAGGTCCAGAGTGTCTCATGGGTCCCTGTACGGCCTCCCATTGCTGCTGTCTCCATCGCCACACTCTGCCATGTGCCACTTTCAGGTCTCCTCACACTGCTGGTGGGTTCTATTTTGTCATAGGGTGCTGGCAGATTACGGGCCTCCCATTGCTGCTGCCAGGCCCGTAATCTGCCATGGGCCCCCGTACCGACTCCTCATGCTGCTGCCAGGCCCGTAATCTGTCATGGGCCCCTGTACCGCCTCCTCATGCTGCTGCCAGGTCCAGAGTGTCTCATGGGTCCCTGTACGGCCTCCCATTGCTGCTGTCTCCATCGCCACACTGTGCCATGTGCCACTTTCAGGTCTCCTCACACTGCTGGTGGGTTCCATTTTGTCATAGGGTGCTGGCAGATTACGGGCCTCCCATTGCTGCTGCCAGGCCCGTAATCTGCCATGGGCCCCCGTACCGCCTCCTCATGCTGCTGCCAGGTCCAGAGTGTTCATGGGTCCCTGTACGGCCTCCCATTGCTGCTGTCTCCATCGCCACACTCTGCCATGTGCCACTTTCAGGTCTCCTCACACTGCTGGTGGGTTCCATTTTGTCATAGGGTGCTGGCAGATTACGGGCCTCCCATTGCTGCTGCCAGGCCCGTATCTGCCATGGGCCCCCGTACCGCCTCCTCATGCTGCTGCCAGGTCCAGAGTGTCTCATGGGTCCCCTGTACGGCCTCCCATTGCTGCTGTCTCCATCGCCACACTCTGCCATGTGCCACTTTCAGGTCTCCTCACACTGCTGGTGGGTTCCATTTTGTCATAGGGTGCTGGCAGATTACGGGCCTCCCATTGCTGCTGCCAGGCCCGTAATCTGCCATGGGCCCCCGTACCGCCTCCTCATGCTGCTGCCAGGTCCACAGTGTCTCATGGGTCCCTGTACGGCCTCCCATTGCTGCTGTCGCCATCGCCACACTCTGCCATGTGCCACTTTCAGGTCTCCTCACACTGCTGGTGGGTTCCATTTTGTCATAGGGTGCTGGCAGATTACGGGCCTCCCATTGCTGCTGCCAGGCCCGTAATCTGCCATGGGCCCCCGTACCGCCTCCTCATGCTGCTGCCAGGTCCAGAGTGTCTCATGGGTCCCTGTACGGCCTCCCATTGCTGCTGTCTCCATCGCCACACTCTGCCATGTGCCACTTTCAGGTCTCCTCACACTGCTGGTGGGTTCCATTTTGTCATAGGGTGCTGTATGGCCTCCCATTGCTGCTGCCTCCACCGCCACACTGTGGCTCCACACTCTGGTTTTGGCCCCGTGACTGCCCAAATGAGTGAAGTGTGCGGTGATTCTAAGATCGACGGCACTCATCTGCATGTCATACTGACTGACAGTATTATTTCTCTTCCCCAGCAGACTCCAAGGGCATTTAAATTAAAGGTACAGTGTTCTGCACTAATATAAAGGCTCTCTGAAGCCTAGAAACACCCTTTTTATAAGTTAAATTCGCAGCGAATATATTCAACTCGAATCGAATTTATTCCGCGAATTCGCCGAATCAGCCGAATCGAATTTTTGAATACTTCGCTCATCTCTAGCTGTGACCATAAAACTCCTTTAACCACTTGCCAACTGCGCTGCACCTGAATGATAGCTACAGCGATCTTGTCTAGTTCTGGACACAGCTGATCACATGATGAGGTAAGATCACAGCAGCCTTTTACCACATGATCAGCTATGTCCAATGACACAGCAGATCACAATGTAAATACAGTTGCCGGTTATCAACAGCAGTTTCCTTACATTGTCACATCGTGAGGAAAGTACTGCCGATAACTGGCAAATGACACAGAGGACATCTGCACCGATCATCAGGGCACTGATGATCAGTGCCTTGATGTTCAGTGCCCAGCAGTGCCACCCAGCTGTGCCTCCCACCAGTGCCACAAATCAGTGCTGCCCAGCAGTTGCACCCAGAAGTGCCCAGCAGTGCCACCAGTCAGTGCCATCAGTCAGTGCTGTCAGTCAGTGCCGCCAGTCAGTGCCACCCATCAGTGTCGCCCATCAGTGCCACCTATCAGTGCCCATCATTGCTGCATATCAGTGCAGCATCATCAGTGCCCCCTCATCAATGCCCACCAGTGCCGCCTCATCAGTGCCACCTCATCTGTGCAGCCTATCAGTGCCCATCAGTGCTGCCTATCTGTGCCACCTCATCACTGCCCACGGAAAAACTACGGGGCCCCATACAGCCAACCTGACAGGGCCCCCCCCCAAAAAAAAAAAAACCTGGTTAACTGTACTTCAGTTAAGAGTGAACACAGTGAGTGATTAATACCAATCACTCATTGTGTTCATTCACGAAAGGAAGGGATGTAAATGCAACATATTTACTGGACCCGTCCCACACTCTCCATTCTGAAGGATCCCATTGTGTGCTTGCAGCTTCCAGTGCGGAAACGGCAGCACTGCGGGGGTAGGGGCACTTAAAAGGGCCTGGACAGCAGGGGAAATGTATTGCCCCGCGGTGCCAATCACCCTCCCTGCTCACACCTGATTCACCCAGCTGCCTGGGCCCCCCCATTAGTCTTGGCACCATACAGGAGGACTGGTGGTATCCCCTTATCCACAGCCCTGCCCATCAGTGCTGCCTATCAGTGCCCATCAGTGCAGCCTCATCAACGCACATCAGTGAAGGAGAAAAATTACCTGGTTGCAAAATTGTATAATAGAAACAAAGAAAAACATTTTTTTTTGCTCTTTTTTTATTTATAGCGCAAAAAATAAAACACCCAGTGGCAATTAAATACTACCAAAAGAAAGCTCTATTTGTGTAAAAAGAATAATACAAATTTCATATGGGTACAATGTTGCATGACCGAGCAATTGTCATTCAAAGAGTGACAGCACTGAAAGTTGAAAATTGGCCTGGGCACGAAGGGGGTAAAAGTGCTCAATAGTCAAGTGGTTAAGGGCCAAATTTAATTTTTTTTAGCTATGTCACTTTAAGATTAAACCATAATGCAATGCAATGAAGACTATCGAGTCTAATTGCTATTGTGTATGTGACCTAACCCTGCCATGATCTGGCATCTCTAATAAAAGGGCTGCAAGACCATTTTAGATCAAGTAGTATGCTGCTTCCATCTGAGCTTAGGTGTGTGTAGATATCTTCTATTCCCACAGAGTCAAGTTTAGTCAAGACCTGCTGCAAACCTCATGCCACACTGACAATTGTGCACATAGTGTACTTTTCTTTTAATAATTCATTTGTTTTGTAGCAGAGAAAAAGATCAGGTCCAGGAATGGGAACAACTTAGGTTTGCTTTAAACCTGAAGTTTAATCTGCATTTATTTTCCCTTCCCTGATTCCTCTTTTCCCCCCTCCTCATCAACATGCACGACATTTTGGATTAAACCTCTGTTTTATTACATTCCTCATAAGCTCACAGTGTGCAGTGGAGTATGTCATTTCAGTACATGACTAGTGTAGAAGAGATTTGTTGGCTAAGACTAAAGCAACTAAAACCATACCAACTTGACTTTCTCGAAACCCCTTCCCCCCAACTCTCCCTCTACCAATAAAGGAGACCAAACACCGTTAAAAGGCTAAAAATCAAACCTATGTGGCTTATGGCAAAAGTTAAAAAAGCTATAGATAATAAGAAAAGAGCTTTTATTCAATTAAAAATGAAGGAACGCTAGCATCGTTTAAACATTAAAAAGAATATAACAGAATATGCAAAAAGGAAATAAAAGCCGCAAAAATTGAAAATGAACGACAGATTGCAAAAGATAGCAGCACCAACCCCAAAAAATTATTCAAATATATTAATAGTAAAAAGGTTCGGTCCAGAGCATGTAGGCCCTTTACTAAATAATCTAGAGTGGGTGACTGGACAAAGAGAAGGCAAATTTATTTAATATCTTCTTCAGCTCTGTGTATACAAAGGAGCATGGGGGAGCTCTTGTCCATAATGGGCATGGTATTAACACAGCTCCAGGTGATCCACATTGGCTCACAATTGATATGATCCAAAAATGTTTAGACAGAATAAAGGTGAATAAAGCACCTGGACTAGTTGGCATACACCCACAGGTCCTTAAAGAATTGAGCTCTGTCATTTCAAAGCCATTGTTTCTAATTTTTAGGGACTCTTTAATGACTGGCATAGTACCACTGGATTGGCGTAAGGCCAATGTGGTGCCAATATTTAAAAGGGGTCAAAATCTTTACCAAGTAATTATAGACCTGTTAGTTTAACTTCTATAGTTGGGAAGATACTGGAGAGTTTAACTCCTCCCTAACGGTCTGATTATGTCAATATTTCTGTGCTGAAAGCGGTAAATTTTTTTGCATGGAAATATGTTGTTTTTTTTATTGTAGGCCTGTCATTTTAAGAATAACTCACTGAAATCTGTCTGAACAAGAGTCTAGTAAACATCCCGGGTATGATAAAATTTGAAACACAAAATCATAAATTATAATATAATAAATAATCATAAAAAATAATAATATTATAATAATAAAGTTAATTCAATAATATAATCAAACCAAAAACACTGAAATTTGAAATAGAGCACCAAGTTCGCGCATCACTGAGCAAAGTCGCAAATCGTTTTCAGTGTCTGATGATGAATTTCCCCCACGAATCATTATCACTCAATTCTGCAAGTGGTTCTGATTTACTATCGCTATATTCTAGCTGGTCTAAAACCACTTTTGACCTAAAGGGACGCTTTTTGGATGCCATGGACGTTTCTCAGTTTCCAGGCAGAAAGAACAGTAAAAATGCAGGCAGGGCACAGGACAAAGCACTCGGGACAAAATGTATGTGAAATGGTTTGATACAGTAATGTTATACTATGTGATTTTAGTGTATTAGTGAATGTCACTTTTTAAAATTTTTTAATTTCCCGCCGGTTCGGTCCCCCGTACATCCTGACGCTCGCAGGGACCGGAACCTGGAAGACGGATGCCGGCATTGGCCAGAGGAGATGGGCGGGGATGCTGCAGGGGACACATCGCAGGAGAGCGCAGGACAAGGTAAGTGATCAAGGGAATCCCAGAGCAACGCTGCAGGGTAATCCTGAGTGTAGCTCGGGGTTGCCGCTTTTGGCACTGATAATCAACCCCGAGCTACACTTGAGAATACCGCCAGGGAGGTTAATAAAAGACCACATAGATGAGTTCTTGCTGGAAAAAAATATTTTAAGCAACAGACAGCATGGATTCATGAAAGACAGAAGTTGTCAAACAAATCTGATTTCTTTTTATGAGGGGGTGAGCAAAACTTGGACAGAGGGGTGGCGGTGGACGTGGTATACTTGGATTTTTCAAAAGCGTTTGACACAGTTCCCCACACACGGCTAATGTGTAAGATAAAGTCTACAGGCTTGGAAAATCCGTATGTAAATGGATAGAAAACTGGCTAAAAGATCGTATTCAGAAAGTAGTGGTTAATGATTCATACTCTGAATGGTCTGGGGTCATCAGTGGTGTACCTCAAGGTTCAGTGTTGGGACCCTTACTTTTTAATATATTATAAATGATATAGGGTCTGAGATTGAAAATCTCATTTCAGTCTTTGCAGATGACACCAAGCTGTGCAATGGAATAACGTCCTTACAGGATGTCTTCAACTTACAAGCCGACCTCAATGCTCTGTTTAATTGGGCAACTATGTGGCTAATGAGGTTTAATGTTGATAAATGTAAGGTTCTGCACTTGGGGGTTAAGATATGCATGCATCATACATACTAGGGGGGGGTACAACTGGGAGAATCAATGGTGGAGAAGGATCTGGGAGTTCTGGTAGATCACAAGCTTAATAATGGCATGCAATGCCAAGCTGAGGTTTCTAAAGCGAGCAAAATCCTCTCTTGTATTAAAAGAGGTATAGACTCCAGAGAGAGAGAGAGAGAGATCATATTACCCCGGTACAAATCATTAGTAACACCTCATCTGGAATATGCAGTTCAGTTTTGGGCACCAATTCACAAAAAGAACATTGGGGAACTGGAGAAAGTACAGAGAAGGGCAACCAGACTGATAAAAGCATGGAGGAGATCAGCTATGAGGAAAGATTAAAGGAACTGAATATATTCTCTTGAGAAGAGGAGATTAAGGGGGGATATGATCAACATGTATAAATACATCAGTGGTTCATATAGTGAACTCGGTGTAGAGCTATTCACCCTGAGGTCATCACAGAGACAAGGGGGCGCTCTTTACATCTGGAGAAAAGAAATTTAATCTCAAAACATGGAAAGGTTTCTTCACAGTGAGAGCTGTGAAAATGTGGAATAGACTCCCTCAAGAGTTGGTTCTGGCCAGCTTAGTGGATTGCTTCAAAAAAGGCCTGGATTCTTTCTTGGATACACAGAAATATAACTGGATACTAACATTTATAGGTAAAGTTTGATCCAGGGAACATCCGATTGCCTCTCGGGGGATCAGGAAG